GTCCCGGCTGGAGAGCATGGTACTGAGCAGTCCGGGCCGAGTCCTGAGGCTCCAAGTTCCAACCGTTTCTGCTCTCAGCCTGTGTGGAGCTCTGTCGGCCGTGCCGCTGACCCTGACCCTGGTCTCTCTGCCTTCTCACCCGCTGGGGGCACTTCCAGCTCAACTGCCCTCTGTCTTTCCCTCGGTGACGTTAATCTTCATTTCTACATGTGTTTCTTCCTTTCAGCTCCTGTTTTAGCTTCTCTGGGGATTCCTACTGTCTGGATGATGGCACTTCTCATGTTTACCCCTGACTTTCCGTCTCTGTGTCCTGTTATCATTCCCTGCTTTGTCCTGGGATGGCTCCTCTGTTTTATCTTCCAAACAGCAATTGCTTATTTCTTTATTTTTTATTGAAGGATAATTGCTTTACAGAATTTTGCTGTTTTCTGTCAACTCTCAGCATGAATCAGCCATAGGTGTGCACACATCCCCTCCGTTTTGAACCTCCCTCCCATCTCCCTCCCCACCCCACCCCTCTAGTTTGATACAGAGCCCCTGTTTGGGTTTCCTGAGACAAACAGCAAATTGCCGTTGTCTATCTATTTTACACATGGTCATGTGAGTTTCCATGTTACTCTCTCCATATATCTCACCCTCTCCTCCCCTCCATGTTCCATAAGTCTATTCTCTATGTCTGCTTCTCCACTGCTGCCCTGTAAGTAAATTCTTCAGTGCCATTTTCCTAGATTCTGTATATATGCTTTAGAATACGGTATTTCTCTTTCTCTTTCTGTCTAACTTCACTCTGTACAATAGGTTCTAGGTTCATCCACCTCATCAGAACTGACTCAAATGCGTTCCTTTTTGTAGCTGAGTAATATTCCATTGTGTATATGTACCAGAACGTCTGTATCCATTCATCTGCTGATGGACATCTAGGTTGCGTCCATGTTCTAAGCTATTGTAAATAGCACTGCAATGAACATTGGGATACATGTGTCTCTTTCAAGTAATTGCTCACTTCTCAGTTCCCTTACTTTATAAAGTTTTCCTTGTTCAAGCTCCTGCTCCATGTGTCCCAGCACTTCCTCCAGTGGCATCTCCCCAGCCGTCCACCCCCAGTGCCTTGGGGTGCAACCCTCGGAGCCCGGGCTTTGGGGGGATGCTGTCCTCCAGGCTATGACAGGCCAGTCTGCTGCCTCCCCGGGCTGCTCACTGCTGAGGGTGCCTGCCCCTCCCTGACTTGCTGCTGGTGAGCTGTGAGCCCTCTGGGGGGACGGACACCGACTGTCCCAGGGGACAGCAGGTGGGGAATTCCAAGCCCTGCCTCCCACCTGGAAGCCCTGTGCTCTGCTCCCAAGGTGTCTCACTGCTCTCTCCTGTCTGGGGTCTCCTTCTTGCCCCTCCAGGTGGCCCAGGGCAGCAGGGCCAGGAGCTGCCCTGGTTGGAAACATGCTCAGGCCCCATCCTGGGCTCATTGGATCAGCGCTTCCGTGGTGGGGGGCCCCGCCGCTGTGCGTGAGCCAGCCCCCGGGCTGGTCCCACGCTCACTGGGGTTTGCGGGTGTGTGATGGAGGGAGGGGTAGGTCCTGGGGGTCCCGCCTGTTCCACATGTCCTACTTCTTTATCTCGTCTCCCCTCCTGTGCTCGCTGCGGTTGTTGGTAAGCACGTCCTCCACCCCAGCGGGAGCTCTGAGTCTCCTTTCCCAGGGCGAGGTGCTTTTCCTCTGTCACATCCCATCCATAACAGCCAGCTGAGTGCTGTCAAACAGCGCTCACCCCACACTTCCAACCTCCGCTCACTCTGAGTCAGCGATGAGCTCCTCCCCTTAGAATTCCAGGTTCGTGATTCAGTGGTCAAGTCCTCTGGGTGTCATCTTTCAGTGGCAGTCAGCCCCCTGTGTCCTGGATTTTTGCAGAGACCCCTTCTGCTTCCCCAAAGGCTTCCGTCTTCACACAAGGAACTCCTATGCACCCTTCAAACCCCTCTGCACATTCTCCCACCTCAGTGAAGCCCACAGTAGCTTCTGGTCTTTCTCTCCTCAGAGCGCTGGCCCTACTTGGCTTCCGGTTTTGTACACTTCTTGACTCTGGGGAAGCAGTGACTTTCTTATTCATATTTTTATCCAAGGCAATGACTACCTCATTGTCTTGTGCCTAACAGATGCTCAACATGGAGTGAAATGAATGGCTTCTTGAATGAATGAATGAGTGCATTAATACTTGCCAGAAAGAGTGCAGACTAGAAAGCAGACATTTTATTCTTTCAGTGCTTATAAGGCGTATTAGTTTCTAATAAATGCCAAGTTTTTTTTTCAAGTATTGTTATACACTATAAGCCAATTTGTACTAATTTTAGCTGTTATTAGTTAAAATTAATTGAACAACAACCAACAGCTTAAAGTGTTCTTCTCAAGGGCCTTTCAGCACTTGTACATAATTAAAAATATACTTTAATTAAAAAATCTAAAAATGGAAAGCAAGCCCAATCCTGGCAGAGCCGCCCGCTCAGGGCTCGGCCTGTTTAGATCACGTTTGTTCAGAGAGCATCAGTCGCATTACTCCCCGTGTGGTCCACATGCCAGTCATGTTGGCTACAGGTGCCCCTTCTCCCCATCCTCGGCCCTGACGTCATGGCTCTTAAATCTCCAGCCCATTGCTTTTTCTTTATTCGCAGATTATTTACAATGAATGGACATCTTTTGGACAACTCCAAGGATTTGCAAGACGACCATTTTTACGTGGCGGCGGGACTGGAGGCCTTCAAGAATTTCCCTTACTGGAAGTCCCCGAAGGTGCCGAGTGAAATCCAACAGTGAGCACTTTCCATTCCTTTATTCTGCCTGGTGAAACCTGCCCTTTCCCTGGCACCTCTCCCTCACGTGGCCAGTTCAGTTCAGTCAGTTCAGTGGCTCAGTCGTGCCCGACTCTCTGTGACCCCATGGACTGCAGCATGCCAGGCCTGCCTGTCCATCACCAACTCCCGGAGTTTACTCAAACTCATGTCCATCGAGTCGGTGATGCCATCCAACCATCTCATCCTCTGTTCAGGTACCTGTTCAGGTATCTGCTGTTACCGGACCAGTTCAGGTATCTGCTGTTTTTCTGTAGTGAAATTTGATCTTCTCATTTTATATGTGATGCAGTTTTGGATTTTCAAAATCTTAGGCGTGGAGGAACCTCTGGTATTGGGGAGAGTCACAGCACAGCGACGTCCTATGTCGAGTGCGCTGGGGACTGGGGTTTTTCTGGGTTCCTGGGGTCACAGAAGTCAAGGGTCTAAACGTGCAAGATGGAGGTGGTCCCAGGCCACGGTCATGATAACCCACCCTCCACCTGACACAGTTTGTTTTCTTAATTCGACTTGCTTTTCCTTCTGTAAAGCAGTGTGTGCCGGGGGGCGGTCTCTCCTGGTGAACAAAGACATGACTTTACAGTAGATCCCGGACCTGGGTAACAGGGAGCCCTCGGAGTGTGGGTCTTTGGTTGTGGAGGAGTGGCTGGGAGGAGGATGAGACGGCGGGGGCTGCGGTCCCGTCCGCTGAGAGCGTGCGGCGACTGTCGGTCACTCTCCGGTGACATCTGAGACAGGGCAGGCGGGCGCCTGAAGAGAAGGCTCCGTGCGCTCCTGTGGGCTCAGGCCTGGGGGGATGGCTTGGGTCTTCCCTGAGGCAGAAGAGCCCGGCGAAGGCGCGCTGACGTGTCTCCCGTGTCCAACGTTGGCGCTGACGTGCGCCCCGCTTCCCGAAGAGCCCGGCGAAGGCGCGCTGACGTGTCTCCCGTGTCCAACGTTGGCGCTGACGTGCGCCCTGCTTCCCGAAGAGCCCGGCGAAGGCGCGCTGACGTGTCTCCCGTGTCCAACGTTGGCGCTGACGTGCGCCCCGCTTCCCGAAGAGCCCGGCGAAGGCGCGCTGACGTGTCTCCCGTGTCCAACGTTGGCGCTGACGTGCGCCCCGCTTCCCGAAGAGCCCGGCGAAGGCGCGCTGACGTGTCTCCCGTGTCCAACGTTGGCGCTGACGTGCGCCCCGCTTCCCGAAGAGCCCGGCGAAGGCGCGCTGACGTGTCTCCCGTGTCCAACGTTGGCGCTGACGTGCGCCCCGCTTCCCGAAGAGCCCGGCGAAGGAGCGCTGACGTGTCTCCCGTGTCCAACGTTGGCGCTGACATGCGCCCCGCTTCCCGAAGAGCCCGGCGAAGGCGCGCTGACGTGTCTCCCGTGTCCAACGTTGGCGCTGACGTGCGCCCCGCTTCCCGAAGAGCCCGGCGAAGGAGCGCTGACGTGTCTCCCGTGTCCAACGTTGGCGCTGACGTGCGCCCTGCTTCCTGAAGAGCCCAGCGAAGTCGCGCTGACGTGTCTCCCGTGTCCAACGTTGGTGCTGACGTGCGCCCTGCTTCCTGAAGAGCCCGGCGAAGGCACGCTGACGTGCGCCCTGCTTCCTGAAGAGCCCGGCGAAGACGCGCTGACATGTCTCCCGTGTCCAACGTTGGCGCTGACGTGCGCCCCGCTTCCTGAAGAGCCCGGCGAAGGCGTGCTGACGTGTCTCCCGTGTCCAACGTTGGCGCTGACGTGCGCCCCGCTTCCCGAAGAGCCCGGCGAAGGCGCCCTGACGTGTCTCCCATGTCCAACGTTGGCGCTGACGTGCGCCCCGCTTCCAGAAGAGCCCGGCGAAGGTGCGCTGACGTGTCTCCCGTGTCCAACGTTGGCGCTGACGTGCGCCCCGCTTCCCGAAGAGCCCGGCGAAGGCGCGCTGACGTGTCTCCCATGTCCAACGTTGGCGCTGACGTGCGCCCCGCTTCCCGAAGAGCCCGGCGAAGGCGCGCTGACGTGTCTCCCATGTCCAACGTTGGCGCTGACGTGCATCCCGCGTCCTGAAGGGCCCGGCGTCGGCGCTCTGACGTGCGTCGATGCTCCTGAGGACGGAGCGGACTGCTTCAGCAGAGTTCTTCTTACGGTCCCGGTCCTTGAGGTGGTGAGACAGGTGGTTTGGGTCCGTCCCCGGGGCAGAATGGCGCCTGACCCCTCCGCGAGTTTCCGCGTCCCACCCAGCTTGCCCTCAGGCTGTTTGTGTGAAAACCCTCGGTGCTCCCAGCTCCACGTTATCAGCCTGTGGATTCCAGTCCCGTCCGCCCTTTCTGAGTTTGCCGCTAGATGCAGACACCGCCCTGTGGGTCTGGGGCCCTCGGGGTCACGGCGCCGGACAAGCTGTGAGTGTTGGACGCCCGGTGTCGTCGGGGCGGCCCCGGGCTCCGCAGATGGGCGGGCAGGAGGCTGCCTGCGGGACTGAAGGTCGGCGCTGTGTGCCGATCCAGCTCCTCACGTTTGGCCCCAAGGAAAGGCCCGGGCTTGGTGCCTCTGGGTCAGCTGAGAAAAACGGCCTGGGCAGGGGAGGCCAGGCCCACGGGCATCAGATGTGCCCTCCTGGGGGGCAGGCCTGGGCCTGCCCGGGACCCTACGGCCGTCCCCGCGTCTCCTGCGCCCGGGGTGTCGGGCTCTTGGGGGCCGTGGACCCATGTACACATGAGCCCACGTGTTTCTTCACGGGGCTGTCGCTGCAGTGTTTAAGGCGGACCGAGCACCCGTCTGAGCTCCAGGCCTTGCTGAGATGAGCAGTGTCTGAAGCCCACCCTCGGGATTGTGCTGCGCTGGTGGCTGGGCCCCCAGGGCTGTGTCAGAACCACACTTAGTGTGGGGCCTATGGGCGGGCCTGCGGGAACCCTCCGCATCGGGCTTCTCCCTCGAGCTGTTAGGGTCACTGCGTTGAGAACAAGAGGCGTCTGTTTTCATCTCACTGCGGGGCGCTGGGTGGTTTCCGCCTTGCTGGCGGGCCTTCACCCCCACCCCAGGACCCCAGCAGGAGCTCCGGGTGGGAAACTTGAGACGCCTTCACGGGAGCAGTGTCTTCCTGCCCATTTTGGCTCCTACGCCGCTAGGGTTTCTACTTTAAGGCTCCCTTCGTCCCGTTGGTGGACGGGGACCCCCGGTGGTGTGGTGGGCAGGGGGATGCTTGGGTAAGTGTCCCACCCCCACGCCTGGCGGGGCTGGGTATTTCCCGATTTTCAATTCAGTTCAGTCGCTCTGTTGTGTCTGACTCTTTGCGACCCCATGGACTGCAGCACGCTAGGCCTCCCTGTCCATCACCAGCTCCCAGAGTTTACCCAAACTCATGTCCATTGAGTCGGTGATGCCATCCAACCAGCTCATCCTCTGTTGTCCCCTTCTTCTCCTGCCCTCAATCTTTCCCAGCATCAGGGTCTTTTTCAGTGAGTCAGCTTTTCGCATCAGGTGGCCAAAGTATTGGAGTTTCAGCTTCAACATCAGTCCTTCCAATGAACACCCAGGACTGATCTCCTTTAGGATGGACTGGTTGGATCTCCTTGCAGTTCAAGGGACTCTCAAGAGTCTTCTTCAATACCAGTTCAGAAGCATCAATTCTTCAGCACTCAGCTTTCTTTATAGAAAGCTTTTTACCCTGGTTTTACTGCAGTTCTAATCCACTGCTGATGGTCCTGACAGCGTGGTGGGTGGAGAGACAATGGGGGCTGTTGGGCTGAGTTGAATGGTGCTCCCTGTCCCTGGTGCTCTGTCCCTGGCTCCTCACACGAGGGCCTCTGCCCATCAGTGTTTTGTTCTTTCCTGTCATCTGGTCACATGTTGAACCCTGACCCGAGTCTGGGTTGCTTAAAGAGCTTTCTCCCTCATCAGAGAGCTGGGGCTTGGGGTGAAGAGTCCGCAGGGTGGATGAGAGCCTGAGTCCAGTCACCACTCAGGAGGCGGACCGGGCAGGTGCTCCTCAGCGGGAGGCCTGTGTCGGGGAGGCCGGCCTGAAAGTGCACAGCGGAGGCCCGCTTCGGCCCCGGGGAAGAATTAGCTGCAGGAGGGCCGGTCTGCGTGGCTGTCGACTCGCAAGGCAGACGACTCAGGAGGCAGACGGGAGCCCTGCTGGCAGGGGAGGGGACGGAGGAGGGACCGGACTTTGGGCTGGATTGGCCCAACGTTGGCTCTTTTGGCCCCAGTTCTGCTGATCAGTTGGGCGTTTGAGTAAACCCTCGTGTCTGGAGCCCGGGTTCTCTACCAGCCCAAGGAGAGCAGGAATGCTGGTTCTGCACGTCCTCTCAAGGGCTGTGTGAAGAAACCGGGTTTGCAAATGTGATTAAACAACCGTCAAATCCTTTCAAATATTAGGGTTCCCATCCACCCTGCCCTGAGAGCATATAAAGGCTTTGGGGCAGAAGGTGCCTATAAATGTGCCACCTTGGGTCAACCTTGGGTCAGCCACTACCCCCCCACAACCCCAGGGTGGGGGTGCTTTCTCTCCCTGGAAGCTGATGTTGCTAGGAGGCTGTGTCCTCTGGGGACAGTTAGCTCCTTCCTTGTGGTGGTCAGTGTTTCCTGAGGCTGAGACAGTGGTCGACATTTTTATTTGATGATTTTGGTGAGCTTTAAACATTTCAAGCATGACTCTCTTCTGTTTTTTCAGAAAGTACACAGACATTGAGAAACATTCACGAGGAAAGAAAAAAGTAAGTACTTCTAGACAAGGGATAGTGACAACTGTCCTCGCCCCTGCGGGGCTCTTGAGCGTGTCATCTGTTCTGTTCTGAGTCAGGCCGCCAGCCCTTGGGTTTGCTCCCCTCCAGGTGAGGTGAGGTGCATTCCTCCTCCAGAAGACCCTGGTGTCCTTTGGCATTAAAAAGGATACTGGACAGTCTGGCTCCGCTCCTGTAGAACGAGCTTCTGAGCACAGGCTCCCTCCTGTGAATGAGGCGAACAGATCAGGGGCAAACCTGGGGCCCAGAGTCCAGGCCTGGGAGGCGTGTCAGGTGTTAGCGATGGAACACAGGGAGTGCGGAGATAAAAATACACACAGGTCTTACGGGACCCGGCTTGGCCTGGAGGGAGCTGGGAGCGGATTTTAGGTAGACATGAACGCTGGAGGAAGTGTGTGTGTGTGTTCATGTGTGTGTATGTGTTCATCCAAACACACAATTTGTTACTGCAACACAAAGCATGGGACGAGGGAGGCAGGTGGAGGCCAGATCTTGGCGACCTGGACAGGCCCACATCACCTGTTCACACGATGGCTGTGTATTCCAGACCAGCTCATGAAATCCATGCTGCAGTGGCTCTGCTGTGTGAATATTCAACAAAACTGTTGAATGCCTACTATTTCCTTCCTTCCCAACTGGTCTGCTTGAGTCCTGACCCTCTGGAACCTGTTGGCCTTGGGAGGTCTTGAGTTATCAGTCTACTCGTTTCTGATAGCAGGCCGCCAGCCCTTGGATTTGCTCCCCTCCTATTGCAGCTCCTATTTCATACCCACCATCTGTCACCTCCCTGCAAGGAGCTCTGGCTTCCGTACCCCCGGACCACCTTGCGTTCACCTGGGGCAAGCCTAGCCTTGGGACCCAGCCCTTGCTCGGTCTGTACTTGCCCTGGAGGAGCTCAGAGTGATGACACCACTGAACTGGCCCTCTTCACACTGAATTCATGGCCACAATCCTTGCCCAACCAGCCTGCCCTGAAAATGCCTCACTGCTGAAAAAAAAATACTTTGAGTATATTTTGCTAAATATTGCTAGGGAGTTTTGCACATTTCTTCCTAGATGAGACGAGCCTGGACTACCTCTTTCTCCTGCTGTCTGGCTTTTGGTGTGAAGGTTTCTCTGATTTGATTCTGTTGTTGTTTTGGTAGCTTCTCGAGCTGAAGGATCATCTTACTTACTTTTATCTCTCTCTGTCTCTAAGGACTGCATTGAATGTTAAATGTCTGCTGGACGAATGGGTAAGCATCACCAAGAACACAGAAATGATAGATGGGATTCTGCCCTCGGGGTGCTCTCCGTCTTGTGGGGACAGACGCATGGACTTGTGCTGTGACACACATTTCGTATAAATGAGTCGTGTGATTAGGATGATGGCTGGTGGGAAGGGGGGCGGTCGGCACGTCTCCACGTGCAGACAAGGCCCAGGTTGGGAAACGTGACTCAGAGAAGCGCCAGGTCATCCGGGAGGGAGATAGCACAGGATCCGAGCTCTACAGAGTTATTCTCTGCTGCCTTCCCCAGGATTTCACACGTCATGTGGGCACTGAATTCTCAGTGATGACTCTTATTTAGCGTGAACGGTGCACATTTGAAATCCCACAGCTTTGTGATTTTGGACGCTGCTGAACACACAGGTGATTGAATCTGTCTGCTGAACCTGTAGTGCGGGTTGGTAACTACGTGCTTTTGTTGTGTCCTCTTTTCACTGTTTTGTTGTTTTGGCTTTGGCTCCTTATAACTAGGGATGTAATTTTCTTCTCATTATACATTTAAAATTGGTCTAAAATTGAGCATGTTTCTTCCAACATATCTGCATTTCCTTTCCCCTTCTGGAAATCTATCACTGGAAAGATAATGGGTTTCGACAGCAGTATTTAATACTTTGGACTCTTTAAACAGAATGATTACCAACATGGCATAAACTGCAATGCAAAAATGTGTCATTTTAGAAAAATTAGATCTATCATGAATACACAAGCACGTTTTATTTTATTAATAGAAGACTAAAAGTCCTAGGAGAAAACAAACAGCACTGGTTTAGCAAAGGCTGAGATACAGACACTGGCCAAGGGCTCTGCGTTACCCGTTGTCTCTTGTGTAAAGGTCCGTGTGGCCCATTAACCTCAGAACTGAGCCCCGAGGGGGTCCTAGCCCCGTCTGAGGACTGGGCTGTGATACTGAGAATGGGAACCGCTCTGCATGCTGACCCCTTCCCTTTGGCTGCAGAAACCTGGATTTAGGACGAGTCACTATCTTACAACTATCTTACGCTACATACATGTGTTCCTTTATTTACTTGTTCCCGATTTTCCACTTCTAGCTTATTAAGCTTTCATCTATATTCTGTGCGAACCATCTCAACGTCCTTCTGGAAAGTGAGGGGAGGAAATTTAAAAACCCACCTGGAAGCCCAGGACTGCTCCTCAGTGGGGACATCGCCCTGCAGCGTGTTGGGCCCTCCTGAGCCCTTGGTCATCTCCCCATTCTAAGGGTGTCAGGTGGGCAGAGTAGCAGCTGTTGGTAAGACTGAGAGCTGAGTTTCCTTTTAAATCTGCAAGCAGTTTTTTAAAACAGTTTTAAAAATTGAAGTATGGTTAATTTACAATGTTGTGTTACTTTCAAGGGCACAGCATCGTGATTCCGTCATACATATATATGTGCATATGTTCTTTTTCAGATTATTTTCTATAATAGGCCACTGCGAGATACTGAGTGCAGTTCCCTCTGCTGTGCTCAGCGTGCCCTGTGCTTGCTGATAATCTCTTCTGTGGAGCAAAGCGCCCTGCCTTAGCCCCAAACCGCCAGTTTATCCCTCCCTCCTCTTAGCCCTTTGCTAACCGCGGCTTGTTGTCTATGTTTGTGAGTCTATTTCTGGTTTGTAAATGAGTCAATCTGTATCATGTTTTGAAGTTTCCACATTAAAGGATATCATATGATATTTGTCTTTCTCTGGCTTACCTTAATAAGATAACTTCTGATAATATGATAATGTTAGGTATGTTTGTTCCATACGATGATGATAATCCTAATGATATGATAATCCGATAACATGAAAATCTCCATCCATATTGTTCCATTGTACACATGTACCACATTGTTCTTAATCCATTCATCTGTTGATGGACGCTTAGATTTCTTCCATGTCTTGACTCCTGTAAATAGTACAGCTTCGAACATTGGAGTGTGTGTATCTTTTCGAATTAGTGTTTTCTCTGGATATGTGCCCAGAAGTGGAACTGCTGAATCGTGTGGCCTAAATCTGCAAGTGTGTGTTTTGTTTTAACACATTTGATTTTTTAAATTTATTTATTTTCGGTTGCGCCAGTTCTTTGTTGCTGGGCGTGGCCTCTCTCTGGTCGCGGCGAGTGGGTGCCACTCTTTGCTGTGGTGCTCAGGATTCTCATCGCAGTGGCTTCTGCTCCCGCAGAGCACGGGCCCCAGGCGCACAGGCCTCAGGGGCTGCGGCTTGCTGGCTTAGTTGCTCTGCAGCATGTGAAATCTTCCTGGACCAGGGATCGAACTTGGGTCGCCCGCATTGGCAGGCAGATTCTTATCCACTGCACCACCAGCGAAGTCCTGCAAGTGTGTTTGTAAATGACCTATGGTACAAGGTCTTCCTGACCCCTCAGTGAACAAACTCAAATACACACAGAGTCCTCCCCCCACAGACTGTCAGGCTTGAATGAGGGCATCTGTTGATGAATTTATGTGTCTGGTGGCCGGGCAAAGCTTCATATGCTGGAGATGACAGATGAGCCACATGTGAGTGTCTGCCAGTGGAGTGCCAGAACCTGCCAGTGAACAGGACGCAGGGACCACAGGATCATGACTGTCCTCACCCGGGAAATGGGCTCTGTTCTCCGGTCTAGCCCAAGTCTGCTGTCATCCCAAATTCCACCAGCATCAACACCCCCCTTCGTCAGCAATTCCAGGAGGGCAGCCAGTCATCTCTTTGACTTTCAGACGCACCCCTGTCTCTCCATCAGCACGGCCACAAAGAGTGAGGAGAGCACAGTACCTGTGGGGAAAGTGGGGTGCAGGTGGCGGGCTGGGAGGGCAGGTGAGACACCTGTATTCCTGGGGCTCCTGACCTCAGCAGGGAAGAGAAAGGAACAGACGTGCAGTTGAGAATCCCTGCTAACGACAGAACGAACTGTACGGGCTGAAAATGGAGCATGGGTGGAACTAGCAGAGGAGAGGCCTGTCCTGAGGCCGCCGGGTCGCCCAGGCAACGGCATGCAGGGCAGCAGGCAGGCTTGAGAGCGTCACTGTTTCTGTGACGAGCGTGCGCCCGTCTTCCCGGCTCCAAGACAGCTGAGCGTCTTAGGCTGATGCCTCTTGGCAGTCGTGTTGTGGGTTCATTTGTTGTCACGGTGAACCTGACCACAGCCACTAGCTTTACCCTCTCTCCAGTTGAGGGGGTGCATGGCAGGCACTGCACACGGTAAGTTTAATTGCTGTGTAAGTGTCCTTGAAATGATTCTGCTGTGATTCAGAGTTGAAGTGGGTTCCTATGTGCATTTGCTTTTAGTGGGTATGTTCTTCAGTTCCATATGCTTTTGTAAAACAACAGCCAATTCGTTTATGGACCCAGAAAGGGAGACAGCCCACGCATAGCTGAGCTACCAGTTTCAATGACCTGTTACTATGCAAAGAGCGTCATCTAAGAACGAGGCGCTTACGACAAGAGGAGCTTACGACGACTCTTGACACGCCAGTTTTAAGCTCCCCTGGCGGCTCAGCTGGTAAAGAACCCTCCTGAAACGCGGAAGAACTGGGTTCGATCCCTGGGTTGGGAAGATGCCCTGGAGTAAGGGAAAGGCTACCCACTCCAGTATTCTGGCCTGGAGAATTTCATGACTGTATAGTCCATGGGGTCACAAAGAGTCAGACGCTACTGAGCGACTTTCACTTACGATGACAGCGATTCATTATTTCTCGAGATGTTGTGGGTTGGCTGAGTGGGTCTTGGGCTG